GTGTTCAAGTGGAGAACAGAGGTTGTGACATCTTCATTTTTGTCACTTATGCAGGAAAAATCAAAAGGCTTTTAAAACAGTTCTAGCTGCTATTGCAGTTCACTTTGACAGATTTGGGTAAAACACCATATCCCATGGTGCAACTCAAAGAAGTCGTCCTGTGTCTAAAAAAATGGATATCTACTTTACAATATGGTCTAATATGGAAACCATAGCGCATTCCAGGAGACTTTTAAAGCTAGTGAAGGTCAGCCTGTGAAGCCTTTTAGCAGACTGTTGATCAATATTCTGAGAGAAAGTTTGAGTCAGAATTTAAAAAACCTCTTTTGCTATAGCACAACTTTTTTTTTTCCAACAAACAACATCCACTAATGTCTGTGAAGTTTCTCAGTCATCCAGGTCATGGTCAATTTGAAGACTGATCCAAATGCAGCTGGACTTGGATGAAGATCTTGAGCAGAGTCCGGTTGACTTTGGATCAAGCTTTGAATTTAAAATGCACTAATGTGCACTGGCTGTGCAGTACAGACAATGAGCCCGAATTCTGAGCTCTGAATTTGGAAACACACGGATAATGAGATGGACTCAGATATTTTCTGGTTCTGAATATTGTTATTATGCGGAAATGTATGTAATGCACATTTTTATGTAATGCACTTCAATGACGTGGCAGACACTGCCTGAGTCCCTGCAGCTCGAGTCATCTGTATGTGAGCTCTCTCTCGCTCACTCATGGTCTCTCACTCATTCTCTCTCTCTCTCCCTCTTGTGTGGGCATGCAGGCAGGTGCGGGTGTGTCTGTCATTGTCTCGACCCCTCTTTAAACAAAACAGTTAACCCAGAAAAACAATCGGATCACATCTTCACTGTATGAACATGTGTCACAGCGGTCAATCACATTCCTGATTATCTCAATTTTTTTCTTATTGATTGCTTTTCTAACAAGTGCATAAACACAACAAAACAAATAAATGTTTTAAATAATGTCATACTGAATGATGTATCAGCTTTATATGTAGGACTGTGGGAAAAGACATTTTGGACCTTAAAACATGACTTAACAGTCTCTCTCTCTCTTGCAACTTTAGAGCGAGCAAGAATGATTCAATGACAGTATGAGGAGGTAGCAATATGTTTAGTTATTATTAATATGTGAATAGTAAATCAATGTGATGTTTTGGAGGAACAACAATGGTAATGCCAGAATTCTGTTCTCATCTTTTTTGATGATCGCTGCCGGAAAAAATCAGGTATAAGCACACACACACACACACACACACACACACACACACACACACACACACACACACACACACACACACACACACACACAAATGAGGAACCTGGCCATGATGAATTGCAAACATTCTCTTTCTCTCTTCTTCTCTCTAATGATGCCATGACTAAAATGTTAATTACAGCTTAAAAGAGAAACGATTGCGAATATCAAACAGCAATTAGCATGTATCATCATCATCATTACCACCATTAGCTGCAGCACAAGATGGAGGATTATTTACCAAAACGGAGGAATGTTCATCAGCAGCTTATTCAGGGTCTGAAATGTTTCAAAGGCAGCTTCAGAAACAGGAAAAACTGAAAAATAATCATTCCTCTTTGAATTTGCATAATTAATGTAGCTTAAAACATTAACTATTGCAAGTCCCGGAGCATGATAGCAAGAGCACACTGTGCTCAGTGGAAGATAACAGATATGTAATTATTATGCTTCGAGACACATGCCCATCCACACAAACACAACAAGCTCATTGAAACACACAGGCCAGTTGGATACCAAAAATAATGCCCAAACACATCCATGTGATCTTATTTATCTTCTCCTTGCTTTTCCCTTTCCTCTCCTCATGTGAGTAGTTACACACACAAAGATTGTTTTTTCTCACAGTCCACTGCACAGCTCCAAATTGCACCTTTTGTGTTTTTAATTTTAATTTTTTATATTTTATATTTTATATTTGACATTTTTAAATTCTATTTTCTATATTGTAATAGCTTCTTATTCTGTATTATTTAAGTTGTTGCTAGTTCTGCTTTATGTCCTTGATAATTGTTTAGCACCAATACACCAAGTCAAATTCTTTGTATGTGTAAATGTACTTGGCAACAAACCCCGATTCTGATTCTGATTCTGATTCTGATTCTGATTCTGATTCTGATTCTGAGTCTGAGTCTGATTCTGATTCACTATGGCTCCACTTCTGCACTGATGAAGTCTGCACCCTTCTCTGGGTGTCAGTTGCCTGCTCTTTACACCTCAGCACGGCTTGACGGACTCTGGACAGTCTTTGGGTGGATAACCCGGATCAGGTCATTATCCTCCGCTCAATCCATGTGAAAGAAACACCTCTCCTCCCTTTTCTTCTCATTTGACTGCTCTGCTCCAACACCAAAAGGTCATCTCACACTTATGATGCCCAGAGGATAAGCTAATATCACATCTCTGACACTAGATTCCCTCATAACAATCATTTTTTTCTCTTCAATGCTACCCTATCCTCTCATGTTGGCTCTATTTTTACCCTAGTGATGGACTCTGCAGGTAGAGTATGTTGTTAAAACTGATACCTTGCCGGTACAACACAATTGTGCACTTCCTGGTTGTCCCCTTGGGGTAAAAGAAACACAAACTGTAATATTAAGCATATCTGAGAACCCAGCCCAACATACAACTTAATGCTTTTTGCCAATAAGTTCTGGTTTTAAATATAACTGCATCCTTAAATGTGTTCATTATCTATCCTTTTTTTCCAGTCCACACAGCGCAACCTTCCTGTCTGTGCGATGCATAATGAGGTGTTAAAAGGTAGGAGTAACTTCTTGTGCTCTTGCCTCAATACGGACAAGAATAGTCTATGAATCTGTGTCCGTCAGGAAGTTCAGTTAGGTCAGAATAACAAAACACTGGGAGGCTCACGGAGCAGATTACTTATCAGCAATCATTCATTAAAAAACAGGAGTATAAGTATGGAGTATAGGAGTATAAGTATAACAGGAGACTTTCAGATTAGATGTCCAGTAAATGTCACACGTTGCACAAGTCTCTTAAACCAAAACAAAGCTGTCCATTCAGCACACCACCTCCCCTCCTCCCCTTAGTGCTCTGACAAAGTGCAGCCGTTTCTACCACTGATCTCCATTCTAATGTGCAGCCCAAAGTTGATTCTGTTCTTAGTTCTTTGACGTATTTTGGAAAGTTTGGAAAGTCTGTTGGTAATCCTTCAATTGTACTCAATTCAAGGATTGAAAAAAAACTGCCATTTTTCCTCTTGTGACAGCATCACTGAATGGGCTGGGTCATCTCTCTTCCCCCATTGGTGGCAGGGCTAACAGTTGGATTGGGGGGTTCACTTCCTGTCCATTATGAACACATAGCCGAAAACATCAAGTCCAGAAGGAGTTTGAATTCACATTACTCACCGATATATTAAGTTAGGATTTATTTGATATTTTAATGTTAAAATGTACTTAACCTTTATTGTTCTGTTTTTAAATCTGTAAAGAACATCTCCTTTCCAAGCTGTTCAAATCTAGTCCTATAAGTCAGTACTACTTCTAAACCACGCACTTATAACATAAACTTCCTGATTGCTATTCACCCTTACCTTGCTGTACAAAGGAGCCGTACACGAACCACATGGAGTTGTAGAGTGTAGTCGAGGACACCGAGCCCATGGGGAGTCGGGGCGGGTTGAGCCAGTTGAGTAAGTACACCAGGATGCCAATGAGGAGCACGGTGCCCGCGATGCACGCCCACAGCGACAGGTCAAAGGGTGCCAGGCAGGCGAACATGTCCATGGTGCGCTCGGCCTTGCGCAGCAGAACGCCCACAGAATAATCCATGTAGCGTGTGGTGAAGTCCACAACGCTCTCTCGCTCAGGCGTGATGGTCAGGGCAGAGAGTCCCACATCGGCTCGCTGCGAGGGGCAGAGGGCAAGAGAGGACCATGAGGAATCAACACAGTGAAAATGTGTAGGTGAGGAACACAGCTGAGGTGGACTTTAGTGCCCACAGACAGGTGAGTGCATCTTATAACGTTGTACATCCAGTTTCACGGGATAGGGGAGTCATTTCCGGTTGTTGTCTTTAGACTCATGATTAATCAACTAAGCTGGAATGGAAAACAACACACCCTTTAATTTAACAGCTGAACCTTTGGATGCACATCATATATTTTACTATGAACTGACCATAGTCCACAGAATGTTGTAATTACTGTGTCTCTTTAGTGCTTCATGGAGACTGGAGATAAAACAAAGATAAAGCATAAAGCAGGAGAGTATGGATGTTATGATTGCGTGCATACTGCTCTGTTTTGCCTCTGTGCACACATACGCGTGTAAGCCAATCATTGATTGTGCATGTTGCGATGTATGACTTCTGAAACACCTTCAGTAGTTCATTGATCTGCCTTTGTGTCAGTCTGCTTCTTCACACATTGAAAGCTTTCCTTTAGTATTTTCATCTAATGACCGCTTTAATTATTTTCATGTTAAGACTCTAAGTTGAAAATAAAGAAACGGCTCAGTGATTATGTCTTTTGAGTAAAATAGGCTGAGCTCAGCTTAAACGCGGAAACAATGATGGCTAATTAAAATGTTTTTAGTCCCCAGTGCTTGGCTAGCAGCCCCAGACAGCTGCTTGTAGCATAACAAGGATTTAATATGCTGTATTGAGCGAGCACGTGTGTTTGAAATCTATACCAGTGTGAGAGATTGCACACATAGTATGAACTTGTACCGTAATGAGATTTGCTCTGTTGCTGCACACTACTGACACAACTGATGAACACTAAGCCCTACAGCCACTACACACACACACCACACACACACACACACACACACACACACACACACACACACACACACACACACACACACACACACACCACACACACACACACACACACACACACACACACACACACACACACACACACACACACACACACACACTTCCACGCTAACCAATAACAGGCCACATCCATATCCCCATGAACACAAACACGCAAAACAAACAAAATTTTAATCCACTGTCTGCAAAAAAATCTGCTAATTTCACAGATGAATGAGGAAACAAAATGCTTAAATGTGCAGAAATTGTCACCAACACGGCATAAGAAGAATATGAGGAGAAACCCTGCAGGATGCCTGTTGGCACAGACAACACACCGATATGCATGCAAATGATTGTGCGTGTGAGTTGAGATGAATTCCCATGCTGAGTGTGTTGGTCAGTCAACATGGAAAACTTGCAGAGAGCACTCTGGGTAATAATTATTCGGTGTAATTGGGTTTTCTGAGAGATAAACCTTCCTGCTGACTGATGGAGAAAATAAAATTATTTGTATGTTTACTTTATTAGCAGCCTGTGCTTGTCTGTGTACTCATTAATATGCATCGTGCTCAAAGCATTTCTCTCATTTTATAAGCTGTTGCTTGAAGGTGAATACAAAGTCTAAAGACACAAGTACACAAGGTCAAGGGAAGGTGATCCCAGTGTTTGAGAGAAATGCTTGAGTCTGACACACGGCCAAAACAAATAATGAAATACAGGCATTGAAAAAATATTTTAAATAAAAAACACTTCTACTAAAAAAAAACATCCTTGACCTATGGAGGAAGAAAATGTTCTGCAGCGTTGCACACAAATACATAAATTACATGTTTGTACAAATAGATACAAAGTGAAAAAATGTCAATTGAAGAGCAGCTTGGTCTGATTTTACACATGTATGAAGATGTTGGAATTTCTGTAAAAAAAAAAAGAGTCTGCTTTTGATGCTGCAGGTGTTTCTCCCTGTTGTTAATCATGTTTCATCATGTTACATCATGTAAGAAACCTGATCTATGTCTAAGAAGAGATATTTTACAGAAAATCACAACGGCAGTTTATGCCAAAAAAAAAAGTATTAATTAATAGTCAAAGGAAAACTATGGCAAAGTGCTCAAGCACAGTACCCTTCATTGGCCCTGGCACACTTTGGAGAGGTGTGCGCCAGCACAGTACAGTTCATGCACGAGCACAAGTACGGGTACACAACATGGACAGTCTTCATTATCGAGTAATCCCGACTCAGTGACTCAAAATAAGACACAAAGTCAGTAAAGTAGTGGCCCTGTTCTGTGCTGTTCCCCCATGTGGGGACACGGACTCCATCGTCTGTCTTTTGAACTAAGCACGCTTCATAATTAAACCTTCGTAAAGCCGTTCATGTGTTGTATTACTAAGTTATGTACAAGACGTAACCGCGCTCATCTAACTGTTATCACGACATATTTTATACTGAAACGGGATAGAACCAATCACAAGTTAGAAGGTGGGACTTATAAAGTTGGGAAGAATTTGATTGGATTGTTTGCTCCAACAAAGCTTTTCAATTGGCCTGAGTGCAGGATGACTCATCAGACAATTAATACTTTTACAGGTAGATAAAGGCTATTTTGATGTAAAAATAGTCAGATAATTTAGTGTTGAAAAATATTAATATGAATATGAATTAACATTTAACACAGGACCAAATGGACAGCGGTTCATTAGACTTAAGGCAGCTGGTTCTCTGGTTAAAAACTGGTGAAATGAATTTTTGTTTCATGGGGACTTTAAAGTTTTAAATTGATGCAATGTGATTTAATGAGTTCCATCCATTAGCAATGAAAGCAACACATTATGATAAAAGTTGAAAGAATATATTTGCAACTTTCAGGATGCTACACACTTGGTTTGAGCTTGTTGTAACTCAGCAAAGAGAAGTTTAAAAGCAGGGTAGTTCTAATAGTCGTCATGGATTAATTAAAAACGTATTAAAATTTAATCTCTTAAAACTTAAATATTTAACTACGGTTGCTTATTTTATTTATGGTATCAAATGGATAAAATGCCCCTTTGCTATTATTACTGCATTGGCCTTGCTGCACCCCTCTTAGCTAACTATAAATAATTTTGGGGACGATAGAAGTGCATGACTAAAGGAGGGTGAGCCCAAGGCTTATTGCTCGCAGGCCGCCACATGACAACACTCAATGAATGTTTTAAGGAGCCAAGGCCTCAGAGGAACAGAGATTGACTCAGCAACCAACGAGCTTGTGTACCTAATGTTTGTTTTTGTATCAAGATAAAATAACCTCTTTGTTCTTAAAGAACAGGATCAAGAAAATAAATTAGACATCTATGTATTTCCACAACTACCTTTCAAAGACAAACTGATTATGATCTCAAACTATTTAGAAATTTGTCAGGCCCGACTGATATTGGAATTTTGGGGAGAAAAAAAAAAAATCAGATACCAACATATTGGCCGATATCTTTCTAAGATCTAAGTTCAATGTGTAGAGATATAAAGACATAGTAAAGACATTATTGTGTTGATCACTCCAATTCAGATCAAACACGTGTGGAAATGATATACAAATGAAGACAAGATGGTCACTCAACTGTACAGTCACAGTGCATGTCACATTGGAGAGTGATGATGCTTGTTGTAATCCATACAGCTCACTCTGCTGGGTTAAGGAGAACTGCTAGTGTAATAAAATGAGGCCCAAATGAAATGCTATTTGACTGGTGAATAAATCTAGTAGTATTGGCACATATCTGTGATACAACTAGCCAATACTGATAGTCACTGGATAAGCTAATATCAGATGGCCGATTAATCGGTCGGGCTCTAGAAGTTTGACAAAATAATTCCAGATAAATACTCATTTTGCCAATCACTGCTTGAAAGGTTGTCTGTGTTTGCAGGAAAAACTGTCCACAGCATGCTGGAAATATGCATAGACAAACAGCAGCCATGCAACTGATGACTTGCAGCACAGAAGAGTTTTAACCTTTGTAACGTGGCAGTGAATGTAGTAACCTTTGTGAAAAAAGGACTACGAAGATGGTGACTAGATCAGACGAGGGTATAAGAGGGTGACATGAGTATCCCAAAGATACCAAAATGAATCATTTGCATTCAAGAAGAGCCCATAAAGAATGACTACTGAAGAATAGTCAGTAACTCCCCTGGCTGATGTTACCCTGTGCCCTGCATGCTACAGCGTCTATGTTATGGTTAAAGATTGTTTTTTTCCATCATCCACCCGCTTCAATTTATTACCCTCAAACTCAAGTCCTCTTTATCGTTCTGATATCCACGTTTATAGCTTCTCGCTCTCTCAAGAGACGTCACTGCCACTTTTGACTTGTCTCTGAGAAAGTTCAAGTGTCTGCTGGTAGTTATGCATCAAACACTTGAAGATACTTGAAGCCAGTCAAATGATTAGACGGCTGCTGTGTTTTCACTAATATGCAAAAAAAAAAAAAATCCAACCCTGAATCTTTGAAGTCAGCCCCACTCGAGTCCACTTCAGACTACATGCTGCGATTCATGGTGAATGAGTGTCTGAGTTTTTAACTCTGATTTAAAGAAGATAAACTCTCTCCAGCAGTAGCAGGATTTAAACATTTGCTATTGAAGAGACTTGATTTCTACGGGGACTTTTATGAGGAATGTTATGAAGTGACTCATAACTGTGCAGACATAACCTGAAGGAGTCTTTAGTCCTACTTAGTATAAAATGATGCCTTAAGCGATGGGGCTGTATTTCTGAAGTAAATGTGCATAAATAGGCAACAGGAGTTTTCTCATTTTCTCTGCAGATCCACATTTATCTATTTTATATTCTCTTGTGAGTTATCTGCATGTGTGCAAATCATTTTCTGCTCACCTTAAAGACCAATTCTCCCATCAGTCCGTTCCACTGGCCATCAGGCTGCAGGCTGCCGTATTTGTGATCTGGAGCGACGTAGATCTCATACTTAAAACCCAGGTAGTTGGACAGAGCATCCAGGACGTCGATGGAGTAGCCCTGATACTTCTTCGGTTTCCCCAGAACGTTCTCTGACACCATTACAAACGGCTCCTCCTGGAAGGCAGAGATCAATCAGCGTGTCAGTAAGTCAGTCAATCAATACACCAGTCATTCAAGCATTAAATCACCCAATTACTCAAGTGGCCATTATACCACCACAAACGGCTAACCCCAAAGGCTGGGGGGAAAGCCTGTGAGAGCACACATTACTCATACAGTGAAAAGAGGTAATGTTCCAGACTCACACACTCTCTTTGTTACTTCTTAGAAAGTTTAAAACCATCCAACAGTATATTCCAAAAAGCAAGTTATGAAAAAGTTTAATACAAATCTCTTCACGAAGAAAACGTTTCAAAACCTGCGTTTCTTACATCAGACCCAATTATTGTTCTCATTCTATTTACATGTCTCTACCATTGAAAGCTAGCTTACGTTCAACATGTATTTAAACAGCCTTTTCAAATGTAGAATGTCACCACTTTAGCTAAAATGTCATCCTTGTCCCTTTTATAGCAGCAGGTACTAGTGGCATGGGAAGTAGTTAAAGTGTGTCTAGTGGCAAAAAGCTCTCACATGTCCTTTTTGATTAGTAACTATTATATGTTTTATAGTACGAGAAAAATCAGCACTCTTATGAGAAATACATTTTGCTTTCTGTTGTAATTTTGAAAGGCTGACAAATGTACTACAACAGATGTAACTACATTCAGTTTGTAATATCTGTCTATGTGTTTGTTTTCTTAGCTATGTTACTTTTGCTTTTAACTTTTCTGAGCTGTCTATTTGAACTCCAGGGCAAAATAAGGTCTGGTTTTTGCTAGGCTCCCAACGGTTCCTCATTCACAGAGGGAACCCCAAGACTGTAACAAGCACGGATAAAGTGTCAGTGATGTCACCCACTGGTTTCTGAAGGCGCCTTAATGGAGCCCGACGATGCAGGTCGCCAAATTGGAAATGCTGACTACCTAACTTTCGGTCAATGTAGATCCAGGCACAGTGATGGAGCTGAGTCGAGCCTAAAGTTCCTGACAAACAGCTACAACCCACCTGTCAGTCAACTCAACCACGCCCGCAATTATGCCTAATCATAAGTAACTCTTAACCCTAATACATTAAAAAATGTTTTTTTAAAGATGTGCTATTGATACAATTTTTTTTTTACCATATTGTAAACATTTAATTCTGCAGCAAATATTTAAATTTTATCTTGGTCTCTAATGGGGATTGTTTGTCTTTATAAAGCCGGCCTCAAGTGGACACCTGAGGAACTGCAGGTTTTTTTTGCACTCCTGCACTCCCGGCTTCATTTTACCCCGAACTTCCTTATACAGCCTTCGTTCCATTTACAGATGGAACCATATTGCTTTAATTATTTAAAGTAACCTATTTAAAAATGTCAAGTGAATTAAGATCATGAAAATCAATAATTGCACCATGCAATTCAGCATATTTGTTTTTTATTGGTTCATTTTGAAATGCACCTGGGGGGGATGTGGCTGAACCGCTTGTTTATCGATATCAGCATCTAAAGGGCATCTTCCTGTTGAGGTTAAATGACATCCAGCCATGCTGACATTTCAGGCGATTAAGTGAACACAGCACAAAGAGAAGCCAGCCATTTTTAACAAGATGAGCAGGAAGGAAACCAGCCTCAGACAGGAAAAGCTACTTCTATTTACCGTGCTTGGATGGAATATTTCATAGAGGAGTTTTTATTTTAAAGCGATTCCCTCCCCTCCCTCCCTCCCCCCACCAGCCTCTCTTTTCTCTCTCTTAATAAATCCCAGTTGATGAGTGAAATGTTTTAGGCCAGTATGTCTTACAGATTTATGAGGGCTGGGGTGCTATTGACTGGATACAGGCTGCACATCAAGCACAAACACACACACAGACATTTTACACACACACACGCAGTCTATATGCTTGGCATTAACTTGGCGGTTTCTAATCCTTGCTAGCTGCTGCTGTTCAATAAGCTATTAGGCAGTGAGTGGACATGCATGCCAAGTCCCTCTCTCACCACAGGCATCCATCAATCAGGACAGGAACACCCGCTTACACACACAGCCCTACATACTGAATCACCTCCCAAAGCACCGCTGATTGCTCCCCTATATGCGGGTACTTTAAACCTTCCTAAACTAACATGGCTGAGAAACATGGCTGACCCTTTTGTACAGCGACAAGATCACACAGCTCTTAATACTTCCAAATACACTTCCAACTCAAGCTCATTTTTAAGGTTAGCAATAATGACATTATATACAATTGGTACCAGCGCACACAGCAGGGAGTTTAGATATATCAATGTTTTAATAGTCTTACAGGCACACACATCAGGGTGCAAACATTAAACCCACAATATTTGAAGGATCAGAGTTTTTTAAGTAAATTCAGGCCCTTCTTCATAAATAATTCTTTATCCGAACAGCACCACAACAGGGATCTTTACGCACCTTACAGGAAAACAGACCCAAAGAAACAGAAAGAGAGGAGGAAGAATGAGGAAAACCCAGAGACTGCTTTAAATGTCTTGTAAAAGAAGATTGTTTTGGGGGGGGGATTTATAAAGTAGACAAAATTACGAAATATCTTTTCAGTTTGTATTCCCTTGGCAATGAAGCAAATTGAGCAGTTTCTGAAAAAAGGAAAGACTCTTGTTTAAAAAAATAAAATACAATTTAAGCTCTAAGTTCTCTCATTTCCGTTTTCTTGTTTGTAGTTTAGCTCATGGTGCATGGATCTCTTCCCAGTTGATTCATAGTAAACAGGCTCAGAGGTATACAGTAAAAACACACACACACACACACACACACACACACACACACACACACACACACACACACACACACACACACACACACACACACACACACACACACACACACACACACACACACACACACACACACACACACACACACACACACACACACAAACTGTAATAGTGTTCACATTCATTTAGATGCAGGCACGCAAGTCCACCCACACAGGCTTGTAAGCTCACAATTTAACACACAACCAAAAGTAGCAGCAAATCAATGCAGAGCATGGAAGGTGCACATGCTTCTCTTTGAAGCTGCATGTGAGTGTGGAGGTGGGAGTCTAAGAAAGTTCCAGTTCTTTATCTTATTACGTTGCAACCCGCTGTACAAATAGACGAGGAACACAAACGAACAGCACGTCATGTACAGTGTCAGGTAGACTTTGCAGCCAATGACTGACTGTAGCCAATGAAACGTGCCTCACACATTTGTCCAATTAAGCTCTCTCGCTTTCGTTCATGGAAAATGTTGGTTTTGGAACTCAGAAGCATACTGCATACGTATTTGTGCAATTCTAGTTTCTTCTACACAATGTTGTCAAAACAGATAATCAATCATCACCATTTCTACACAGAGCTGCATGAACATAGCGTCTGGACTACAGCTGTTCTTTCCATCGTTTTGAAACTTGGAAAACAAACTGGCTATGTGGGATTTATTGTCCTGTGTAACTGGGACTACTCAACAAAGTTATTCCTTCGGCCAAGCAGTTGCAAAACAAAAAGAAAACGCTTTATCAATAAAACCTGGTTTCAAGAGTTATTCAGGTCTTAACTTTGAATAGGCATCAAGTCTTGTAATCTTCTAAACACTTACAATAGCTCACTGGTTGGTCTGCCTTTGAGCTGCCAGGCTCAATCGATACTAAGTCGATGGATTCCAGACTAAAATCTTGTAACGAAAAATTACCTTGTGAGATGTAGTCTGGCTGCGTGACGCTAATCTGTCTCTCTCTTGTCTCTTTCCTCTCCCTGATGTTACTCTGCACTCCCTTCCTTTTCCCCTGCACTCGCCAGCTGTGATAAGGCACCATTTGGCATCTTTCCACACGGCAATGTCTCCAGTTTTCCCTAAACATATGTCTACAACGCATCTACTTTCAACAGCCATCCATCCATGAAGCCCACTATTTTCCATTTATCATCCTCACACTCCTCCTCTTCCATGTCCTCTGATGTTACTCCCCTCATCCCTCCTCTTCCTCTCTTTCCTCCACGCTAATTCCTTTTTACACAAGTTCATCACCCGTCTCCACTTGACTGGAAGCACCACATGCGGTCTCAGCACTGCTGAGGTGTTTTTCGGAGACATGATTGGGGCAGGGAACGGCAATTTCCACAAAGACTATGTAATGACCTTTGAAGAGGCCTCTGAGGGAATGCTTGGAAGGACAGAATCATGCAGTGATTTGCAGTAGCAAGCGTTTGTCTGTGAAATTGGTGTAAAAAGTCGTTTTGAAAAGCGGTGCCAGTCTCTGCAAAAGATTAGATTTTTAAATTGTTTTAAAAATGTATTTTTCTCTCAATCTTTTTGATAAAGATGGACTATGTGTCATGAAACCAAACAGACCAGCAGCGCCGAATGGAGGACAACTGCTACATCCTCCTCAATGTATTTTACTTTTTCATTCACTGAAACTTTTTCAGCCGTCTTTCAACAGCTGGATAAGTCACTGAAGGATTACTGCAGGTGTATCTCTGCTGTGTACAGAGTGTTGTTAGCCTTGAAGCATACGTAGATATAAATATATAGATTCATAAAATATATTGTCTGTCCAAACAGTGACAGAAAGTCTCATTTGACAAGGCTTAACTTCAAGCATCACATAGCTCTATCTACGAAATCACTTTTAATTAAAATAGAGTTGAAGGTGAGCAATATGACAAGAATAGATTTAGTAAACTTATGCAAGAGAAAATCTATTTCTTCTCTCCAGATCTAAACTTTCCTTAATTAAAAGTTAAGGCACACATAATAACTGGTCCTATATGAATGATACATTCAGATTAAAATCTGTATAATGAGAATGTCAATGTTACTTTACTTACAGCTCTGGAAGTAAATGGTAAATGGACTTGACTTGACACTTTTCTAGTCTTCTAACTACTCAAAGTGCTTTTACACAGCAGGTCACACCTACACATTCACACACTGATGGTAGAGGTTTCTATGTAAAGTGACCATCAGATGTAACTAATCCATTCATACACACTCATATGCCGCTGAAGC